ACGCGACTCAATAGGCCCAACATTACGTATTTTAAGGAGGATGGTCTTCACCTCTCAGGATACTACACGTAGGAAGTGATGGACCTTAAATATGAAAAGGGAAAATGAGCAATAATTGATACACATGAAAACAAGAATAGACAGAGCCATATAAGACTTCATATAGCAACATTTAGAACATATTTGAGGACTGTCAACTGAGATCTAATTTAATTACTTTTCATGGGCTTCTTTAACATAAAAGAGGGCAATTTATAATAATTTTTATTTGTACACATCACAGGAAAAAATTCAATATTTCAAATTACCCCTGAGCTTTAACACAGTGATGATGAAACAGGAAAAAAACTAATCTAAGTGGTGCCTACAGCCAGTAGTAAAGAGGGTATTCTCCCCTTCTGCCAGTGATAAAAATTAAGAAATTTGAAATAATGTCTACTCTCATGCAAATAAAAACAACATCAAATCGATATTCACAAAGTTTTAATCTGCGTTTATGCAAAATGTTTTATTACCTTAGATCACAACAAGTGAAGACCATTCACTTTTTTGTGTAGGACGTCTTTCTCCCATCCATCCTGGAACAGTTTATAAGCTCCCAGCGACTTATAGTTCCTCATTTCCTCCTTAGAGTATGCTGACTTTTGAAAGATCAGAAAGTGGATTTTGTCTACTATGTTTACCACTGGTCATGAGTCTTTGTCTGATGTGTAGTCCTTTGAAGACAGCATGTACGGGTCTACGCCGATCTCTCCAATCTTGGCGTCATGATGTCTGCAGATAACGACTCTCTGTAAGAACTTGACTTCTTCTCCATAACAATTAAAAAAGTAACAAATAAACAACCAACAAGTAAAAATTTAATAAGAAAACGGCTAACTTCATCAGCAATGGGAAAGCGTGTAAACATAAGCAGCTCAAGTAGAGAAATGGCGGATCGCGTTGCATTGTGGGACTGTACGCTCAAAGTTGTGACGCACGTGAAAAGAAAGGATTTGAAAAATAATGAAACTGGTCTAAATATCAGTAAAATTTTAATAAATTTTCTGACCATCACTTGAGTCTGGCATAAACCACAGTCTGTACACTGAATCCTCAGGTAGCCCACATGCTGTGAGATCAGACTCCTTTGGATCTATTGCCATCAACTCCTCTCTGACCTTTGGCTTTCTCGGGTCTCTGACACACCATTCTAGTCGCAAATTTGGGCAGACGGTCTGCTTAACTTGCTGAATTTGCATCAAAACATGGTTCTTCCACTTAGCATATGCCCCTCGGATTGTTTTGTCAAACTTTGTTGCTGGGGGATATAAGGGAATTAGTTCAATGCAAGAGGATTTTGTTGACTTTCTCAAAGCACAATGCGTTCCTCTGCGTGGATCGATTGCATATACAGCATAATCATAGTACAGCTCATTTTTAATGAGGAAAAAGTCACCTCTTCTTCTTAAACCTTTCCTTCCTGTAGAAGTGTCATTTTGGACTAACTTCACTGCCAGACGGTTGAAAAGCACATGTGGCATAAAGTTCTCTTTCCCTTGTATGAATAGTGTTCCTTCACTGCCAACCCCAGATTCTGGATTCTTGCATACCTGAAGTAAGCTGGGCACATAGAACTGTCGAGAAGTAGGCCTTCCTGTTGTACCTGGCTTGACGTCCTGTTGCAAAAGAATGTTGAATTGTACCATAACACCAATTACAATGGACTTCAATTCATGGTCATCTCCCCATAGCTCGTCCATAAGTCTTTCATCTAAGATGCCCCTCTTTAATGCAGACCAATAAGGAGTCCCTTTGGCTTTGACATGGTGTTTATCAACTGCTATAATAGACCTGAATGCGTCTATCAGCCATGTTGGATTCAAAATGACAATGTCTGAAAGATCATCAGTCTGAAAGTGCATAAGATCTCCAATGTCATGATGGAACTGGAGGAATGACTTCAGCTCAATGGCATCCTGCATTCCAACTTTAAGAGCTAAATTTTGCAGCTCCTCATACCTTATCCACCTTTTTCCTCGTTTCTCGGGTGCTCGTCGCAGCTGAAGATCTTCTTCTAATCTAATCCATCTTATTGGATTCTTCTCTCCCCAAGATTTTTGGCTTTCAGCAATTTTCATAATATATCGACGGAGATCAGATATTTCTTGATCTTCATCTTGACATGTGTTGTCAATTGCAAAGAAACGAGGATCAACATGCACACCACTTCTCTTCTGTTGTATATACTGCCGCAATTTATCAAAGTATGCGTTTATTTCTTCTTCATGCTGTAACAGAATGGGAGAATGTTTTTCAACATAATGCAAGCTTCAATCACATATTTTATCAGTCAATTGTCAGAACTATTTTTTTAAGAACAAACAGTTTAATTTAATTAATTAATTTATTATTATTATTATTTTTGTTTGTTTCAGTACTAATGCCTACCTTTTCTTTGGGAACATTTTCCAGGTATTTGTCTTTATGTGTGCAAGCAATGATTATTCGGGGGGATGATACCCCATCTTCACTCATGTTTTGCTGTTGCGCATAAGTATGGATTGCATCTATCCAATAATTAGTAAAGTCTGGAAATATATCAGACACATTTCAAAATGTATTTTACTATCACTTTTTGCTGTTTGATCTGTTTGAGTATAGAAAGCTGTCTCACTAAAATGATGAAATATGAGTATTCTATGGATAATATATATATTGACTGGAGTAAGCGCATTCGTATGGATCCTCCCCCCCTCCAAAAAGGGACACCATCACCAGTCTTGTGCTTGACAAGCTCTATAAAATGCAATCAACAAGAGTTATCAAAATATGCAAAAAAAAAAAAAAAAAAAAATATATATATATATATATATATATATATATATATACAGCATTGGTCAAAAAGGTTGTCCCACCCCCATTTCCATGTACTTTTATTTACTAATGATCACCTCACAGCTGTGAACTGTTAG